TGTGTCAAAGCAGCTTCACATAAATGGTCATAGTAACTGGAACAGTGTGGTTCAGTAACTGGAACAGTGTGGTTCAGGTTTTAGTGTTTAAGTCAACAATGTTGACAGCAAGACTGTTTATTAGGTAAATTAGACAAACTGGTGTCAATATAGAGTGCAACAATAAGTGCCATGTACAGTGCTTTTGTATTTGTAAAGTATTTAAAACATGAAAAGCATTTGACTTTTTATTATAATATATAAAATATATATTGTTTGCAGTATTGTCTCTAATTTTATTGATGATTCATATTTTCACTACCATTTTCATTCAAATTACAGCAATTCTGTCATGACAATTCTTGGAGAGTATAGTAATAAATATGTGTATGATAATGTTTATGTGTTTGGTTTTAGTGGCATTGATCTGTGATGCTGCTGTTGCTTTGATTATTGGTGCAGAGCAAGTATCAAGACTTGCTACTGCCAGAGAATTCACAGGCGTGCTGTCTGAGAATATAACACACTGCTGCTGCAACAGAACATGACGACAAAACCAATGAAAACAAGATTCTAAGTTGCATTGGCAAGATGCATTTATCCACATGAGCTGACCAAATGAAATAAACAATCCCAAAACAAGCACATCTATCACCAAGACATGTTTATATTTTTTATTTTTTCATCATGAGCCATGGGACTGCATGTTTACTATCTATATACACCTGAGCAACCTAGGTGAATGGCTTAATACTAAATCTGCATAGTATGTGCAATATGTATTCTTGTTACAAAATATCACGTAGGAGGTGAACAAAAAGTTGAACCCAGCAATCACCTGAGCAAGTATAGATGAAAACTATGATTATATCATTGACATGCTCTTTAGCTAACTTCATTCACAATATGAATGGCCGCTGGTGCCTCAAAAGTGAAAATCCAACATTTAAATAGACTTGAGAGAGAAAATGGACTGAACAATAAGACGAAGAGCCTAAACGTTCACAATGAACTCTTTCAACATTGTTCAAAGGAGTCCTGACTCACTTCCATCATCGTTGCACCATGAAAAAAAAAAAACACACACACAAATGCAGCAAACCTCCCACATCCTCAAACATCATCCTGCTCTCACTGTGTGACAGTTAAGAAAGAGTTTTAGTATCCATGATATAAAAGACAAGAACCGAGATCCTGCCTGGCCATTGACATGACACATATAAGCTACAAAATATGCTACAACAGCATGTATGAAGTAGGGTGTGTTATTAGTCACTTATTCAGTATGCAACTGTCTTAGCCAAGGCATTAGCATAGCTAATGGAACATTGCCCTTCCAACAGCTGAATGGGTCAAATGTTCAAGCATCCAAATATGACATTCATCCACATAACCTCAGTGAAACACTTTAATAAATTTAATCTGTTGGTTCTTGAGAACTTTTTTAGAAACACTGCTGTTATAGTTTACATATACAAAAGTTGCATACAAGCAAATTAAATTGAAACATAACACTTTTTTAGACATTAAGTGGATCAACAGCTAATGCACGAGTAAAACATTATCATCACATATTTTTTAGTTGTTTTGTCATGTTGGAACATTGGAACAGATTAGATATAACCTTTCAGCCTGGATGCCCAATAAAGTTTCTTGACAGGACTTCAAATTTTCTTTAATCCACCATTCTCCTATGCACTGTTCTAATTATCAAAGTAGTTTTAGTTAAACTGTGAGCAGTCAGAGACTGCCGATAAAAACGTTCACTCTATGAACGCAATAATAATTTGCAGAAACTGTAATTTGGTTGACAATATTCTCCTGATTCCTCAACCATTGAAAATCGAACTGGGTGACAATAGTCTCTTGATTCTTGATTTTGGTGTCTTATAATCCCTTCACACTCCGAATTTACTGCAATAATAGACAAAAACCTATTTTAAAATAGTTGTAAATGAAAGAAAGGCTTAAGGAGCTAGTCTGTCATTAATTCCGTCATTCTGTCATTAACTACCCCATGTTGTTCCAAACCACCTTTTTAAAGACTAGCTCTTTAAGTCTGTCTTTCATTTACAACTATTTTAAAACATTTTTATTGCAGTAAATTCAGAGTGTGAAGGGATTAAAAGACACCAAAATCAAGAATCAAGAGACTATTGTCACCCAGTCCTGTCGTTAATTCCGTCATTCTGTCGTTAACTACTCTCATGTTTTCCCAAACCACTAAGACCTTTGTGCAGTTTTGGAACACTAATTGAGATATTGTATATGAGAAATAACAGCTCTCTAAATCTCCCTAAATCTCCATGAATTTTTATGTTCAACTTTAAGAATACAATTACAAAAGTGTGTTACAGGCTACCTTGCAGCACCAACTCCAATCAGAAACTGTGCGGACACAATTGTGCTTGAAATGGAAAAGTGGAAAATTAAACTGTCAGGTGCTTTGAGGAGTCTGTAAGTTTATATATATATATATATATATATATATATATATATATACATACATACATACGAGACGAGATATGAGATTGGGGTCACGAGAATGAAACGGGATTTTTAAGAAATCTTTAATGAAGAAATTTATGAATGGAAAATAATCTCTTATTCAACTGAAGAAAAAAAATCTATTTTTAAATCAACTTGTAATGAATGTTATTTAACTTATTTTTAAATTAATTCTATGCAGTAATATTAAATATAAAATAGCAAAATAGTTTGCAATAGTCTACGTGAATGGAAAATAGTCATTTAATATATCAATTTAAATATTAGCAAAATATTTGATGATGTAATAATGGAAATATAAAAAAATCACCAACTGCAAAACAATGTAGGTGCTTTTTTTAATTGTAATGAATAGTCCTTTATTTTATCTCTATTTTATTTTATTTAAATTATTTCAATTTTTTATGTTTTAATGAATTCTATGCAGTAAAGAACATCCCCTGTACAGTTTCAAATGAGAAATCAAAATCCTTTCTACAAATTGAACTTAAATCCCACGTAATTTTTTGTAGTTTATTTTTACTTTTTTTATCAGTTTTACTTTCATTCAGCAAGAATTCATTCGTGCCCCCGTCACAAACTACTAAAGCTACTGAGTTACTGAATGCAAGTATGAAGTAAGAACTGATAGGAGAGAGTTGTTTTAATGTCATTTGATACCACACACCAAGAGCATAAACATGTGTTTGGTAATGATGAAGGAGTGTGTCTCATGTCTCCAAAAGTTCACTGTATGTGTGTGTGTGTGTGTGTGTGTGTGTGTGTTTGTGTAAGAGCAAGCGCTTAGAAATGGGTCTGTGGTCTTTTACTAACTCGGTAGAGAAAAGTGTCAAACAGCTGTGTGTATGTCTTATCCTGTCGCAAAATGCGCTTAAAAGACCTACATGATGGTAATAGTTTGAGTATGGTTTTTACCCCTCACTTCAATAATGCGACTGGAATAGGAATATTCCACATGTCTTAATTTCATTTGTTCAAGAGGATTATGACTTTATGCATATTTAAAGTGCTATTCCATCGCATGAACAAGAAGCATGGTTAATGTGTGTGGCTGCAGTTGTAGCTTCTGTTGGACGCGTTAGCCACTGAACTCCCGTAAAAAAAAAAAAAAAACTTCAGTGCTAAATTCACCATCATGCTCCATCATAACATCACTAATCATGAGACAACTTTTTACCTTGACGAGAAATCTTGTCACATTTTAATCTCGCGAGATGTCATCATAAGATCACATCCCTAATATATATATATATATATATATATATATATATATATATATATATATATTATCTTGAAGTCAATGTAATCATGATAAATGCATTGGACTATGCACATGGTTACAATTTCCACTAAAAATCGTATTTAATGATATACAAAAAATAAATAACTTAATAAAAAATTACCCAATACGTAGTTCTCAATGTATTGTTAGTATTATTTTCTTTCTTTCTTTATTTATTTAATTGATTGATTGATTGATTGATTGATTGATTGATTGATTGATTGATTGATTGATTGACACACAAAGTGCTAGTAGCTGTTGACGTCATGGTTTTAATAAAATTTTTTTAAAAATCGACATTAATGTGTAAGTAAAGAGAAAAAAAACCTGCACATATCTTAGAGTGCCTGAGAATGAGTAAACTATTAGCAAACTTCCATTTATTTGTGTTAACTACCCCTTTAAAAGTTGGTATCTCTGGCCAGCCATCATTTATAAATAGCCTGGCTGCATCCTCCATAATGAGCAATGGTCTGATGAGAAAACTGGCAGAGGGGAGACAGAAAGCCAAGCCAGTCCTTCACATTACTGATCAGAGCTCTGTTTTAAACAGCCTGCGACGCAATACCTGCCAAGCGCCTGTGCGGCAGCTCCGCTCTAATCATACATGCCAGGCCGCATCCCAGCGTGCCTCTCAAAGGCCATACACAGCGCACTGTAACCAATTAGAGCTCGCCGTGCTGTGCCCACGTCTCTGGGACGGCCGCCTGATGCTCTGCCCGGCGAAGAAACAGACAGATCAAGCCTATGAGCTGGTATCAGATCAATGAGCGTCAATATGTGCGCAACATTTGCTGAAGTAGACATTTTAAAAGATCTTATAACAGGACCACGCACATCAAAAGCTGTCTGGATTTGCAATGCTTATGCGGCGCAGTGGGGAACACTATAGATTCTATCCTCAATGAGTCTGAAAATAAAAAAAGCTTTTTTTTTCCAGTGATAAAAGGAACAAGCCACGGACAAGAAACAAGGAGATGGAGGATTCGTTTTGTTTTTTTAATCAACCAACTGCAGGGGCAAAGACTTTGGATGCGAAAAAGCAATTGAATTTTGAAATTGCTAGATTCAAAAGAGAAAGATAAGCACAACGAACATTCCGTGGGATTTTCAGCGGCCTGTGTTTTCTCACAGTGATAGGCATGAAAAATAGAGAAATCTGTGGGTACATGTTGCTGCCAGGGTTGGTATTTTTCTTTCTTTTTTATATATACTGTATATCTGGACTCACCAAGCAAGGGTGGCAGCCAGTTGATGTTGGCTTCACAATGAGAATCCAGAAAAGTCAGGACCTCTCCTCTGGCCACAGATGCTCCCAGAAGTCGTGTGCGGATTAGACCCTCTCGCTTCTTAGTGCGCACAATACGGACTTTAGGAAATCTGGACATGTACTCCGCCAGATGTGCCTTCAGGTGCTCTGAAAAAAAAAAAAAAACAGAGTAAAAATTACTAGAAAGCACACACTTGATACAAAAAAGGAAATGGCATAAGTCTTGGTTTGTGTTCAGTTAAAGGGAAGGGAGATTGATCGCGGTGCAGTGGTGCGGTAATTTAATCTCCGAATTGTTGCTCCATTCTGCCGGCCCAATTCAAGGGCATTAATGTTTAACACCCCGTAAGATTCCACCGCTGTTAACACTTAAATGAATCGGTGAATGTCCTCTGTTTCTAGAATATTAATCAGGACAAACAGACCCAGCGTTAATATATTATCTTAAGTTGCATTCAGTTGCACTGCTTCCAGTGCTGCAAATTAGTTTTCTTTGCAAGTGTATTATTAGGTTTTATTATTAGGTTTGACTGTCTCTGTACATACAAAACATAATTAGACACTTTGAACTGAGTAAATACCAATAAAAGATGTAGGAGAAACTAGGAATATTAGCATGCTAAGTATAGTTTGTTAATACTTGCTCAATAAATATGACTGAAGATCAAATACTTGAAGTAAAAACATCTTACTTTACTTTTTCATAATACCATAATATGAAATATAACATGATATAAAATTTACTTGATATATTTGATCACGTTACACTTGTATAAAAAGCATAACAAACACTATAAACAACTCAGAATAAGGACTATAATAGGCTAAATACAGCTTGTTTGATACGTAATGGATTTGCAGCAATTGCGCAATAAAAAGTGAAGAGATGATGCTGACCCTACAAAGACTCAAAGAAATGTTGTAAACTATGCAAGATTTTTGAAGCCAAGACTTAATCCACAAATGCATTTCACTGAACATGAAGTATTATTCATTCATTTATTTTTCTTCGGCTTAGTCCCTTATTTATCAGGGGCTGCGACTGGAATGAACCGCCAACTATTTCAGCATATGTTTTACACAGCGAATGCCCTTCCAGCTACCATTACATTCACACGCATTCACACACTATGGCCAAATTCGATAATCCAATTGACTGACAGGACATGTTTTTGGACTGTGGGGGAAACCTGAGAACCCACGCGAACACGGGGAGAACATGCAAACTCCTCACAGAACTCAAACCAGCAATCTTCTTGCTGTGTGGTGACCATACAAACCTCTGAGCCACCGTGCTGCCTGTACATGTTTATTATTAGATGTAAACAAAATTTATTTTAGAAGGACACTACATACTGTGTAACTGCAGGTTAACTACATTTATTTACTGATAACCCTGTTTAAACTCCTTAACTGTTCTGTTTTTGACTGTAATATAATGTTTTGCACCTTTTTTGAAGCTGTTTTGGAATAATTATTGTGAAAAGTGCTATACATGTAAACTTGAATTGAATTAGATAAAATGACATGCACCATATATCAAAAGGTATATATCTAAAAAAAAAATATAAAACAATTCTGGAACTACAAATTAACTTTTAAAGATATAATAAAAGAAAATAAAAAAGAAAACTTACAAACTGAAACTTTAACATTGGGCTCTATCATACACCCAACGCAATAAGGCGCAAGACATGTATGCTGTGATTTGTTGCTATTTTCAGAGCAGCACAACTGTAATTTTCACGTTTTGCACCACATTGTTTAAATAACAAATCCATTTGCACCACTTTGTGGACTCATGTATGCGCTGGTCTAAAAAGGAGGTCTGTTAAGGTGCACTGTTGGCACGTTGCTATTTTGAGGAGCTTAAATAGACTGCATCATTGAACTAAAAACTAGTTATGCACCTATACAAAATGCTTACATTGCTTAATACATACAGGAAGTATAACAATATACAAACATCTTAACATATGAAAAAAAAAAAAAAAAAGAATTTAAATGTTACCAAACTAATATTTTCTACATGAATATAAAAACCACTACCTCTATGGCTTAATCATGTCAGGGGGCTTATTTCAGTTTCTTTATTACAATGTGCATTTCTATGATATTATTATTATCAGTATTATTTATTATATGCATATTTATATTTGTTTTAATAAAAACAAGTTTAGATTTGTCTACCTGTCGGGTTTTGGAGACGTTTGCATCACCATATGGGGCATAAGAATAGGACGTGTGTTTGGTTATAACTCCACACTTCGTGACCACACTTTGTTATTGCTGTTCATTAATTTATTTGCTGGAGTCTAGAACTGAATTTAGAAATAGTTTTGAAACAAATTTTTGTGCTTACAATATGTATAGGCTAAATCTTCAGTGGAGTGCGTATAACAACATTTCCATACCCCATGAAAGTAAAGAAGTAAAGTAAAGAGTAAGAGTAAGGAGAAAGTAAAGAGGTTGAATGGAGGAGTATCATTCTTTATTCTCGTGCTGCAGATGGTTTGTTTAACTCGCTATTGAAGCTTTCAGTTTTTCCACTTACAAAGTTTGCCAAGTAAATAGCAAATGCGCCATGGCGTGACACAATTGACTCTTAAAGGGAATAGGAGATGATACTCTGATTTATTTAATGCATGTTGTGCTCAAAACACACCCATAACTCATTAATAGAATAAGCACAACACTGTTTGACCATGCGCCGGGGCGCAAACTGTATTTTTCAGTCCTTCAAATATCAAAATGGATTCTGACATGCCCTTAATGCTTTTGCGCCATGTGCTTTAGACTTTCCACCTAGATTGGTAAAATAGAGCCCTTAGTATTACACCTACAATTTTGAAGTATAAATTCTAAAATCTAATTTTCTTGGAAAACAGATGGTTATTTGATTTATTTGCAACTCATAGTTTTTACAGTGGGCTCTTATTCAGAAATGCAATTAATGATTCATGTACATCCTCAACATAAAACAAGACAAAATGTGTAAGGATTGTTTGCAATTAGGTACTAGATTAGGTGCGATACTTTTTTTTAAGCTAACACTTCACTGGCATCTTTAACTATGCCAAGTAAACAAAACAAAAAGCAAAACAGATGGGAAAAGCAAATTTTCTCAGTGTTACTTGGGTAGTGGGTAATGCAGTTGACCCTTTTCAGTGACGACACAAAGAAACAGCAAAGGCAGTCATTTCAAAAGCCAAAAAATGGAGAGAGAGAAGTCTTATCTTTCCACACATTACTGTTTGTTCATTTTCAGAAGCAGCAGGAGTTTGCTGCAGCTTGTCGACCATTTGCACATTATTCAAATACAAAGCATTAATACCTACACAAACTCAATCGCCGCTTCCCAGCTGCTGCGTATGTGTGTGTGTGTGATTAAATGCTTTGGAGGTACCAAATGCATGGGTTTTGGATTACCACCAATAACATAAACCCATTAGATGCAGCAACCGTGTTTTGAGGTAGGGTTTAAACTGGAGGGACTAGCGAATTTCTTCATTACCTCTGAAAGCTGTGATGCAGGCAACATTAAAGATATGCACATGAAAAGTGTCACGCTTTGACTGTAAGACTTGTGTGCCGAATTCGACTTCAAGAAGGAATCATTTATACCTTTTAAAAAAAGTTTTCACTTTAAATGTTGTAATGGTTCTTCCTGCTTCACAAATTATTAAGGAGATGTCTTCAAATCAGAATGCAATTTTATTTTGAAAGCACGGAAATTATGTTGGACAGAAAGCATCTGCATGGGTGACAAACATTCATATTAGCTGCCGTGTCCTTAACATGGATGAGCTTAACAACTGGGGATATACAGAACTTGTAACTGACAGCAATGATCGGTGTTTACTTTTTTAAATGTATTTTAACCAGTCATACAGACTAAAAACCTGTAAATGCTACATTAAAAATCCAATTCTACCCATAAAAAGTTTTATTGCAATAAATGGATGTACTTAGATTCATTTAAATAATTTTAAAATGATTCTTCTGTATTTCCTGTAGCAAGTGGCAAACACAGACATTGTTAACGTGCTGCTTAAAGCTTTTCATAGTCAGAAAAAGGACTTTTCAAAGGAAAATTAGCAGATTGTTTACTTTTAATGCAGCACGAAGTCAACAAGGTTTTTAGTTTCACTTGTTTATCATTGTAGTACCTGCTATTGTTTTATGCCAAGCAAATCTAGTGTCGTTAAACAGTGTTCAATTCTCAGATTTGGAGAGAAGCTTTCAAATAATGCAGTAGCAAGAAAGCCACTTGTGTCTGCTTTGCTAAAAAGGAATAAGCTTATCTAAAAAAATCCTGTCAATAAACATTTATTAACTTCACCATAACTCTTTCACACATCAATTTTAAATTGTCTCGCTGTCTCGTTTTTGCTAATTTAAGTGGACTGAACATAATACAATTAAGTTACTCAAAAACTCAAGATTTAGGTTGTTTCAGAAAATTTTTAATAAGCTATTTAAATAAGCAGCAAGCATAATTTTTGAGTGTAGAAACTTGTAAAATTGATGTTGACTTTATCACGTAACCCAATGATTTATGTACATATTGTTTGTTTGTGTTGTTTTTTTCCTATTTCTGCAAATATATACAAACGGCCTAATTATATTGATATTCCGATTCTTAAATATGTGTAAGAACATGTATTTTAATGTTTAAACAGTTTAATCTGTTAGCCAGCACTCACTTATGGGGATTTACACCTATTTAACTTTAAATAGTAACAGGGAATCATATTATTTATTCTAGCGTCATAGAAATAGCAAACAAGTTCATCATGTGATCCGATGATGTACATATTGTATATTGATTTTTTTCCTTTTCCTGCAAATATTGTCAAACGCCATAATTATAGTGATAGTCACATTCTGAAATATGTGTAAGACATGTATTTTAATGTTTAAACAGCTTAATAGTGATAATTTTATTTGATCTATTATGGTTTAAAGCATTGCTATGTTAGCCTGCGCTACAGTAGATTGATTAGAGCTGTTGTACTTACAACATGTTAATTTATCAACTTCTCCCAAAACACATGAATGTAAGTGGCTGTTTAACATAGAGCAGCATTGAGTGATTCTAGTTACCTGCTACCTAAACAGTGTGTATATTTTGTGAATAAAGCACA